ATTGATGTCATCATTAGAGATTCTTCATTAACTCGTTTTGTCTCTAAGCGATAGTAGAGGAGTGTAGCATCTTCTACTTTCGAGCCGAACCATCCTAGGATAGGAGGATTTCAAAGCCTTCATTATGGAGGCGGCCCCCATTAGGACGAGTAGGTGTCCTATAGGAATTTTTCGGCTTGTTTAATTGGTTAGTTCCTCTTGGTGAGCTATAGGCCTTAATTGCACTTGATGGGTTTTGCGAGTTAGAAGGGCTTATAGTCCTTTATGTTGGACTCGTGCTAGGAGAAAGGCTCTTTGTCAAATTTGTAGATGTGTTACACATCAATGTCCTTAAATGCTTGGCTAACAAGACTACCATTTTATATGTATGTAAAATCTCTATCTTTTTGTGTTGCATGAAAATAAAATAGAACTTTTTATGTCCATTTGCTAATCTCAACATAATATTTCTTTTCAATTTTTTTTCCCAATAATATCTAAAAGTTTGATCATATCAAGACAAATGAATTATAGATAAAAATAGATGGTGGATACTATGACCATCTAAAATTCAAAAAGCTACTAAATTATTATTTTAATTACCATTCGTTATAAATGTTTCTAATAAAATATTTGATTTTATCAAGTAACATTTAATTAGTAGTATTATATTACTCAAATTTATAGGCTTTTCTTTTGGATTTTTTTGAAATTTTATGTGTGGTCTTGTTAAATATACGTTTTGCACAAAATGCCTTTTATTGCAATCATATTTTTGCATATTTCTTATTTATTATTGTCTGATAAAGATCAATCTAAGATTCTTTATTTTTTTATTTCTATAAAATATATTTGTCTAAATATTTTGAAATAATCCATTTCTATAGTATTTTAAATTTTCTTTTTACTACAATTGCATAGATTATTGGAACTCTTTATTCTATATGGTTGAAAGCATAAGAATTCTGTGTAGCCCATTTTGTGGCAGTGATGCAAGCTAGCTGCTATCTATACAGATCTATTCACAATAATCAACTATCAAGTGGAGGGACAACCGGTATCTTAATATTCAAATATTTGTTAACTTTAAGACATCACATCATAATGGTTTTAATATTGATAACACAAAAACAATTGTTATTATTAATATTGTGCTTGAAGTGTTGTGATATAAATATATATTATTCATGCACATAATTAAAATGAGTAAAATTATTAATTAAAATGAAAATTAATTAATTTAAGCTTGAAAATGTTGAAGAATGAACTTAAAAAATTCCATATATTTGAAGTTGGACTGCACAAAGTTCGTGAAAAAAAGAAGGAAGAAAAATTAGTTGAATAAGGCAAAACTAGCATATAGGAACCATATGATTGGTAGAATTTTGTTTTTCCTTGTTGTTCTTATCAAGCGAATCAACTTATGAGTTATTGCATTTATCCATAGATATGCTAATTTTTTATTTTCTTAGTGAAAAATAAGAACTGCTTTTTTGTTAACTGATTGGGATTTGACTGGAGCAATGATCAAATCAACCAAATTCATTACGTTTTGATCAGATTAATCAGATTTGATTGGATAAAGACTCTTTGGGTTTAGCTAGAAATTAGACCTAATTTTGGCCTTGGATTGTGGAGTTTTCCGGTCAAGTTGCTGGGACCGACGAGGTTTGATAATTGTGTTGGTAATTAGGAACGCTAAAAGGGTTGGCAATTTTTCTAGTTAAATAGGAAGAGAAGCTGCCAAAGTTAAAAACAAAAATAATAATATTAACATGAGCAACACGTCAACTTTAAAAAACATATAATAGGCTCATATTTCTACGGACCAATCAGGCAATAATTTCAACAAAAGGCTATGTAAAGAAACATGTTATGAGACAACTTTTGGAAGCTAAAAGTCACTTGTGAGTAGCGACATTTATAGTTATATAAGAACAGCGGGATGGCATTTACATATATATGTATATGAAATGGATACTATAGCATTTCCCTTTATTCAAATACTTTTCACGTAAAGGTTACAGATCACTTAATCCATAATAACACATATTTTGTTGCCATTTATTTACGATACTAGATATATGGCATTTGCAGAACTTCAAGAAAACTGAGATCCTTGCTTCTAGCCTTTGAACTTCAAGAGCCCAATGTCGGGAGCTATTTCTTTCACGTTATTAATGGTCCAAGGTTTGTTATTGGCATCGATTAATTGAAGTGCTGGGGAAATGATTCCAGCGCTACTGGATTTATGAATAGCTTCAGATATCTTGCCCCAGTTATTCTCTAAGTTAAGCGTTTTAGGATCGGGTTTATATGATCCGTCTATTCCCTTTTCGAGCACCTTCTTCAATATATATTCGAATCTTGCTGCCTCTGAAATCATTTGGATGGAAATGATAAAAAATTTACCTTCAATTTGCTTAGTGAGACTGGCCGGTGCTTTCCCAGAGACTGACTGGACGGCATATTGTAGTTTGGTAACTCCCAATTCAATGTTCTGTCTACCGGTGGCAGCCCCTTCAAGTTCTCTGTAGCTGCCTCCAAAACCAATATTTCTAACTGTTGCTCCTTTGTCAACAAGATTATCCCGAGCAACTTTAGGAGCATCACGAAGGAAATTCACGCGATCTTTCCCTTGATATTTATCAAGATAAGCCACAACATACAAATCGGTGACGTCTATTGCTAGTGTGACAGAATTTTGATTGTTAATTTTGAGCTCCGCTAAAAGATATCGTTCGGTATCTTTTACTGTTTTCCGCGTCACTGGTAATCCTTGCACTGATCCACTTTTGAGTTGATTTCGAAGTGATGTCATAAAATCCGAGTAGGTTTTGGTGGTAGCACCTTCAAAGTTGAAGGTTATTCTGTTGTAACTGAGTGCCTTTGTTTCTTCTATCGCTGACTGGCACACCAATGCTGGCATGATCATGACAGTCCACCAAACCCATATTGCTATCTGAAAAAACGCCTTCATTGTTTCTGTTCTGTAGCTTCAGCTATCAAAATACATGAAGATGTTCAGATTACAAATAAACTGATTAATGAAGTTAAAAAAAAAATGCACCAAAAAGAAAAACAGCGCACAACGCATTTAGGATGTCCAATCTCTCTTAAGAAAGATTTCGAATTTAATAATCCACCATTATGTTGCCTATTTCTAGACATGTAGTTTACTTTTAGAAAATTGATGTCTTTCACCCCGACATGCTTCTGAAAAGATACTAATGCACGTAATTGGAGCCCAAATCAGATATCTCTGCGAGTGGAACTAATTTTACATAGATATGCGGCATATATAACATCTTTAAAAAAAAAAGCTACTGCAGGGATTTAAACCTCCAACACCAAGGGTAATGAATCTTCTCCATACTATCTGAATCAACTCATTAGATGTTAAATAGTATTAACAAAATACGATGTTCTTACATATCATACAGCATTATATTAAAAAAAAATAAAATTAATGTATGAAATTATATACGAAAAAAAAGCAAATCACACGAAAGGAAAATAATATAAAGAGAAGAACTCGAATTATTAAAAACACTTAACCAAAAATACGAAGTTCAAATTGCCAAGAAATAAATTAGATTGAGTTGCAACCTGTTGTCTCTGTTGAGTTTTCTAAGACGAGAGAATGAATGAGACTTGTGATTTAGAGAAAGGCAGTACTACACGTCCTTAAATATGAAAATTGTGACCGGGAAAGTCTAAGGAAACACGTAGCACGTGAAGGAATGCGATGAAAAGCATGTTGCAGCTGTTGGGTTGGATCACTCCTTGCCCAAATCCAATGTATAAAAAAAAACAAATAGTAAATTAAAGGTTATTCACGCATGTGCCTAAGTCTACACGCATTTAAACAAAAAGAAGTGCAGCAGCCAAATAATAGAAGTGCAACTGCACGAAGGAAGAAAAAAAGGCTGGCCGGAAGAGAGGGAGAGAGAGGCATTCTTGTCCTCGAAGCCTTAATTGACCGGTAATTAAGGTAAAATTTTAATATGTTGTTTCTAGCATAGAGCTTTTTGATTTAAATGGTATTGATAGTTGAAAAGCTTCTATCTTGGGTATTTTCTAAAACCCATTTGGTGAGATATTATCTTTTTCTTTATTGTTATGATTGAAATCCATTTTGATGTCGATAGTTTTAATTTTTTGAAGTGTATCCTCAATTTGAACTAAAAAAGAATTGTGTATCTCATTATTTGATATAGAGAAGGTTTGAAGTGAACTACATTCTTGTGGTTTTTTTTTTCACATTGGGATTTTCATGTAAAAATTTATGTATTGCTTATGGTTGTGTTTTATTTATTCCACATTGATTATTATTGATTGCTTGATCCCGATTTTAATTGCACAAAAAAAAAAAAAAAAGAATTAGGACTTGTGGTTTGTAATTTTGGTTTAGACATGTGACTTTGTCCAACAGAGTGATATCGTAGCCGCGGATTATGTAGATTGGTTGTTTTCTTGTGTAATTACGATGGAGAATAAAGATTCAAATATGATAAAGCTCACTTCCTTTAATTATCTCATATGGAAGACATCATTGGATGATCATCTTTATTACAATGATTTGGCTTTGTCGTTTGAATGCGAAGGAAAGAAGCTTGTCGATATGGAAGAGGCTAAATGGAAGTCAATCAACAAAAAAGCTACATTGTTGTTAGAAAATTGGTATCTTTTAAATCCATCAATTGTATTTCTTACAAACATGATTGCTATAAAGTTTGGAAGTTTTTAGAAGAAAGTTTTGCTAAGAAAAGTGCACAAAACAAGGCTTTTGTGATTAGAGACCTTGTAAACCTAAAGTACAAAAATGATAAAGATGCTTCGAGTACATTTAAATAGCTTCCAAAGGTTCTTGAATCAATCGGGATCGATGAACCTTGAGTTAGCCAATGAGATACAAGCACTTATCATGTTGGGTTCATTGTCGAATAATTTGTAGACTGCGGTAGTGTCACTTAGCAACTCTACTCCAAATGGAAAGCTCACTTTAAAGACAATGAAAGATAAAATTCTTAATGAAGAGAAAAGGAGGAAAGGTTAAACACTTCGAATCTCATGTACTTGTTACAAAAACCAAGGGAGAAGTCAAAGTAGATTTTCTCACGGTAAGCGGGATAGAGAATTTAGAGATAGAAGAGACAGATCGAAGTCTAGAGGCAAATCTTAGTAAAAAAAAAGGAATAAAGTGTTGTTATTATGATAGGCTTGGACATATTCAAAGGGATTGTAGAAAGTACAAAAGAGATTAGAGGGGTAAAGTCGAAGACAAGAATGAAAAGAATAGTATAGTTGTAGTTGTTTATGACACCGATATTGTCATTGTTTGTGACAATAGTTATGTAAATCTCATTTGTCCGGATATCATCTAGGTTGATGATTTAGCTACTTCTTATCTTGTTACATCCCGATAGGATTTCTTCACATCTTATGCTAGTGGAGACTTTGGTCGGATTAGGATAGGAAATCAAGGAACGGCTAAGGTTATAGGCATTAGAGATATCCGGTTAGAAACCAATACTAGGTCAAATTACTACTTAAGGATACTAGGCATGTACCCAGGTATGCTCCTACACTTGATCTCTATAGGTGCACTCGATGAAAAAGGCTATCATAATTTTTTTAGAAATGGTAAATGGAAATTATGCTAAGTTCTTTATTTGTTTCTAAAGGTAAGAAGAAGGGTCTTTACATGTCACAAGCTAAGGATATTAAAAGGGAGGTGAATGTCATTAAAGATGCCTCTACTCGATTTATGACATAAGCAACTTAGCCACATGAGTAAAAAAGTTATTGTCCTTTTTAATAAGAATCTCCTTCTTTTAAAAGGTATGAAATTGAATACTTTCATTCATTGTTTAGCTAGTAAACAACATAAAGCAGACTTTTCATAAATTATCTCCACATAGGAAATCACATATTTTTTATTTAGTTCATATTGATATTTGTTTTATGATTGTCAAGTCTCTTGAAGGTGCTTTATATTTTGCTAGTTTATTGATGATCATTTTAGAAAATTTAGGCCACTTGTTTGAAATTCAAAGATCAAGAACTTGATGTCTTTAAGAATTTCCATACTAGAGTTGAAAGAGAAACTAGCAGAAACTTGAAATGTATTTGAGCAAACAATGAAGGTGAATACAAAGTTTCATTTGAAAAGTATCATAAGAAACTAGCACTAAACTTGAGACAGTTTCGGAGACTCAATAGCAGAATAGAATGTTAGAAAGAATGAAAAAAAATATTATTAAAAAAATTATGTGTATGCTCTCTCATGCAGAGTTGCCTAAGTCCTTTTAGGATGAGGCACCAATACAATTGTCATGATCAATCTTTCTTCATCAATTACTCTTGACTTTGATATGTCGAAAGCGTATGAAAGGAGAACGAAATTTCTTATGCATACTTGAGAGTGTTTGGTTGTAGGGCATTTGTACATATTCTTAGCTATGAAAGGTTTAAACTTGACAAGAAGACAAAATAGTGTGTTTTCTTAGGTTATAAAGATGATGGGTTTGACTACAAGTTATGGAATTGAAAAGAGAAAAAAAACTATCAAAATTAGAGATGTTGTCTTCTTTGAAAATCAGACCATTGAAGATTTTAAATAAAAAAAATATATAGTCATTCAGTTTTATTCCCGCTAGTTCGGATCTAAGACCTAATCTACAATTACCTTTGATGCCTTCTAATCATGGAGAAGGTTTAGAGACTGATGATGATTGTGGTTTGCTTTTTAAGTCATTAGTTGATGATCCCGAGCCAACTAATAATGACGATGATGACATTGTTTTTCTTGAATAGGTTGTTCAAAAGATATCGGATGAGTCATAGTTGAAGAGGTCCACCGGATCTCACCAAGCTTCCACCAAATATCCTCCTCATGAGTTTGTGTTGGTTACCGATAGAGGAGAGCCGGAATGCTTTGATGATGTCACATGAAAAGAAAAATGATTGGTTAAATGCTATGCAAGATGAGATGAAATACTTGCATAAGAACCATAAGCACTCAATAATAAATGAGTGTTTAGATTGAAAACTAAAAAAAATAGCTCCCATCAAAGGTATAAGGAAAGATTGATTATAAAGGGTTCGAGTCAAAAGAAAGGTAATGATTTTGAAGAAATCTTTTTATCTATGAACAAGGTATCTTCAATCCGAGTTGTGCTTGGTTTAAGTTCGCTAGTTTAGATCTTAAAGTTGAACAACTTGATTTAAAAACTATTTTCCTCCATAGTGATTTAGATGAGGAGATAATATATGGAACAACTCTGAAGGTTTTAAACCAAAAAACAAAGAGCAATTGGTTTGTAAGCTGAAAAAATGTCTCTATAAATTGAAGCAAGCTCTAAGACAATTGTATAAGAAGTTTGATTCTTTTTTATAGAGCATGGTTATGGTAGAACCACTTTTAATCATTGTGTGTTTATGAAGAAATTTGTTGATGGTGATTTCATTAACCTATTGCTATATGTGGATGATATGTTAATTGTTGATCACATTGCTAGAAGGATTCGAGTTTAAAGGGAGAGTTGAGCAAGTCTTTTGTAATAAAAGAATTGGGATTGGCAAAAAAGGTTCTTGGCATGAAAATTACTTGTGACATGAAGAATGCAAAAATTTAGCTATCTCATGAGAGATATGTTCAAAAGGTACTTGGAAGCTTCAACATGGATAAGTCTAAACCAATTTTTTTTCCACATGCAAGCCACTTTAAGCTAAATTTAAAAAAACAAAATCTTTCAAGTGATAAAGAAAGAAATGAGATCAAAAATGTTTTTTATGCATCCGTAGTTGGTAGCTTGATGTATGTTATGGTTTGCACAATGTAGGACATAGCTCATACGAGTTAGTGTGGTGACGCAGTTCCTCTCCATCACAAGGTGACCTCTCTACAATCGCAAAAAAATGAAAAAATATATATATATGTAGATTCATCATTTAGTTTCAAAAGATGAAAACTAA